GGCCCCTCCCTCCCAGGCTGCCCTGCCCAGCTCCTCATCAGCCTCCCAGTTGTTCCTCTGAGGCCCAGGGCGGCTTGGGGTGGGCAGGGCATAAGGAGTTGCAGGGGGTATGTCTACGTGTGTGTGTCCAGCAGGAGCCTAGGCTGTTTGCATTCATCCATTCTGTCATCGAGCATCCATTGAGCACCTACTGTGTGCTGAGCCCATGCTTGGCATGGGTGTGAGAGAAATGGTGTCTGGGAAGGGGGAGATGTGGGGGAGGCCTCTTGGTGCCAGCGGTGGGAATGGTGAGAAAGACGGGTGATGCTGGGAAGGTCTGGCTGCAGGGTAACTGATCACCCGCAAGACCGTAGGGCTGTCACCTGCTCGGTGTGACACAGCAGCCCTGCTAGGAGCATCGGGCTGTCTGCGTTTTATGGTTGTAGGAACTGAGGCCTGGGGAAGTCAAGGTCACTCGTCCAGGGTCACTCAGGCAGCCAGTGATGGAGGTGGGGCCAAGCCTAGGCTGCCTGATGGGTGGGCATCTGCTGTCCCTGGTCCCGGTCTTCCCCATCCCTCAGCCTGGGGCTCCAGTGCTTGGTGCCCCCATTGCTCTGGGAGGCCTCAGGACCTCAGCTCCAAGACACCCCGATTCTGCTGCAAGCTGGGGGCCTATTCTGCCCTCGCTCTTCCCCAGCTGGACAGCCCTGCCTCCAGGCCCCTCACCACGTCCCCACCGGCCCCTCCCAGGGTGGGCGTCCCCCGCATACCACTCTGCTGTGTGTGCCCTGCTGGGAGCTCAGCACCTTTTTTGTGGCCTCCCGAAGGACTGACCACCGTCCCTGCCCCTAGGAGAGGCCAAGACCCCGCCCATGGCGGGTGGAAAGGAGGCCCAGAAGGGGAGCAGCTGGCCAAGGTCACGGAGCGTGAGTGGCAGAGCTGGGCGTGCTGCCTGGGTTTCTTGGCCCCAGCTGCCCAGCAGGTGGCCCGATTCCCTGCCCTGCGACTCCCAGGAAACAACTGATCTGGGACATTGTCCTCACCTTGGCCTCCTCTGGGGTCAGCCAGCCTGGGGGCTCCAGGAGCCAAGGGAAGGAAGGTCCCTCCCCTGGCCGTCAGGAGGCCCACCAGGGGCCGGTCTCCCTGTGGGAGGCTGAGTAGAGAGGACAAGGACTCGACCCGCATGGCCAGCCTAGGAGCTGCTGCCGTGGTCCGAACTGCGCCAAGATGAACGGTGAGAGCCCTGGTGCAGGGGAGGCTCGGGGAGGCCACAGGCTGCAGAGGAGAGAGTAGCAGGTGTCCCCAATGTACAGGGAAGATGGGGGGGACTGTCTCACAAGGTGGACTCTCTATGGAGCCTCGAGGGACAGGGAGGCCTTGAACGGTGGAGAGAGGTGTTGGCTGTTCTTGCCACGAGCCCCTGATGCCCACAGAAGAACCCTAAGAGGCAGGTAATAGCAGCTGTGGGGCACCTGCTGGGATCAGGAGCTGACAGCCGGTCGGAGATGAGCACTAGGCCCACCATGGACCAGGGTGCACGCTGGGCTGAGGCCCCCAGGAGGGTCCTGAGGGTGGAGGAGTCAGCACGGCGGAGAGGGAAGAAGGAACTTCCTCGCCAGAGAAGTAGCATTGTTGTCCCCACTTAACAGAAGGGGAAACAGGCTCAGGGAGTGTGAGTTAGCAGTGGGGCATGGATTCGAACTCGGGTCTGTTCAAGTCTTCCCCAGGGGCAGCACTGAGGGGAGAGGACCCCAGACGGCTGGGCAGCAGCTGCTTGTGGCTGACCAGCTCCCGAATCTGAGTGGCCTGGCTGTGCCAGACCCGAGGTTTCGGAGCAGTCAGGGGGTGGGTGGGGTGGTTGTGTTTCTGGCGGAAGTTCTAAGCCCATGCAGGAGGCAGTGAGAAGTCCTTCCCGTCCCCACTCCCCACCAGAAGCCTCCCCTGCTGACGGGCACTAGGAGACCCCGGGTCTGCCCAGCCTTCTCCCTGAGCCCCGCTGTGGTGGTGCTGGGCTGGAGGGCAGGGTACGTTTCCGCTTCATCCAGTCCCTGGGTGTTTATTGCAGACTCCCTGCCACCCTGGACTGGGAGAGTTCACAAGACCCCTGGCAGGAGTGGGGTCACTGACTCATCTCACTCAGCATTCTTTAGTGGTCCTGGGGTACAGCCCAGACACCCACCATCAGGCAGGGGCCAGCCCACGGTGGAGCTGAGAAACAGGGTGAGAGATGTCGGAGGGCAGGGCATGGAGGGGACCCACGGCTCCTGACTCCCCTACTGGGAAGTTGGGGAAGCCTGTTCTCTGTGTTGTCTGAGGACCCCTGGGGGCCCAAGCTGGGAGGCCAGCAGTATCCCCTTCCCTCCCTGTTGCCCCCCTTCCTTGGAGAAATGCCCCTGGCCCTGCAGTTTGGGTTTCCTTCTCCCATCAAGCACAAGGCAGCCCAGGCAGACTGGCCCCACACAAGCTTAGACTTGCAAGGACCTTCGAGACAGGAGTCAGCTGGAAGACGGTGACTTGTCCAAAGTCAAGCACAGAGCTAGCGGTTCAGGGTCCAGGCCTCCTGCCTCTGAGCGGACACTCACCCTTCCCAGTGACGGCCGCCTGCCTGGGTGTGGCTCTAGGTCTACCCGGGGGTGTAACACGGAGAGACTAATTCCCAGGGGACTGGCATTCCCTCCCCCCTCCAACCTTCCCTGGTGATTCTTTATCTTCAAAGACTTTTCCAGGGTCCCAGGCCTCCCCCATGTAACCAAGAACCCCCACTTGTTACCCCCTCGGGGCCCCCAACCTTGAACCAAGACCCCTTTTGACTCTAAGGAGCACGAAGGGGGAGCTCCCCTCTCTAGAGTTTGTGGGGGGATGGGCTGGTCCGCCGTCTCCCAGCGCTGCGCCTCGACGTGACCCCATCCCCTGGTGCCCAAGCCCTGTCTGGGTGCCCGCCCCTCCTGCAGCGTTACTGCTCTATCTAGAGTTTGTGGGGGGATTGGTCCGCCGTCTCCCAGCGCTGCGCCTCGACGTGACCCTCCCCGTCCCCTGGTGCCCAAGCCCTGTCTGGGCGCCTGTCCCTCCTGCAGCGTTACTGCCTGTGTATAGTATAAATATATATATTTTCTATATATAAGATGTATAATATAAGGCTCCGCAAATATATCTGTGTGTGTGTGTGTGTGTGTGTGTGTGCAGTGAATGGTGGTCCCCATCCTGGGCCCCACTCTGGACTCCCCCACCACCTGGTTCAGTCTCTCAGGAGTGAATCCAGTGGCCCCGCGGCACCCTCCTTTCTGACACCTGTCCATTTGTGGTGAACCAAGTGAAGGTGGTGACTTCTGGTGACAGTAATAAAGTGAAGACTCAAAACCCACTAGCGGGTTGCAGTGTGTGGCCTTGTGTTCTTGTTCTTTGTTCTTCGAGAACCTGGCTTGGGATTGCCCATCCGCCATCTCCCCTGACCTGGGACATGTTTTGTTCATCTTTGTTTAGTAAAAAGTAAAATCATTACAGTTGAAGCCAGTGCCTCCCACTTTGCATATGTTTGCACGCGCACATGCACACACACACACGCACACACACGCGTGCACATACACTACCATTCCCTATCCTGGACCCTTCCCCAACCTCCAGATGCAACCAAGATTAAGAGCTTGACCTCATTCCTTCCAGACCATTTCTATGCTTCTGTGTATGCATATGTTTGTAGGACACTTTTAAAAAAATTATTATTGAAAGTATTTATGTCTCACCACTCAGGACACTATTTTTAAAAATATTTTTTTATTGATTTCAGAGAGGAAGGGGGAGGGAAATAGAAACATCAATGATGACAGAGAATCATTGATCGGCTGCCTCCTGCACACCTCCTCCTGGGGATCGAGCCTGCCACCCCGGGTATGTGCCCTGACCAAACCGTGACCTCCTGGTTCATAGGTGGACACTCAACCACTGAGCCACACCAGCCAGGCTGCAGGACACTTTTGAAAGTTAGTGGCCCCCAGGCCCTATAAAGTGCCAGACACCGCGCTGGGCCCTAGTTCAACAGGGTCCCAGGTTCGATTCCGGTCAAGGGCATGTACCTTGGTTGCGGGCACATCCCCAGTGGGGAGTGTGCAGGAGGCAGCTGATCAATGTTTCTCTCTCATCGATGTTTTTAACTCTCTATCCCTCTCCCTTCCTCTCTGTAAAAAATCAATAAAATATATTTTTTAAAAAAAAGAAAAAGAAACATCAATAATGACAGAGAATCATTGATCGGCTGCCTCCTGCACACCTCCTCCTGGGGATCGAGCCCGCCACCCTGGGCATGTGCCCTGACCAAACCGTGACCTCCTGGTTCATAGGTGGACACTCAACCACTGAGCCACACCAGCCAGGCTGCAGGACACTTTTGAAAGTTAGTGGCCCCCAGGCCCTATAAAGTGCCAGACACCGCGCTGGGCCCTAGTTCAACATTGGACAAGGCAGCTTGCTGTCTCGGGGAGATGGATGGTAAACCCACATTCCAGCAAAACAAGTTGTGAAAAGTGCTGAGAGAACGTCGGTAGATGCCGTGTAGACCTGGGCAGCTGGCCCAGAACCTGAGCTCTAGGATGAACCGGGCTTCACCAGCGAGGAAGTGGGCTGGTGAGGGCCCTGGAGACACACCGTGTCCCTGGCCCGGGAAAGCTCGGCAGGAGATGATGAGGGGTAAGCGGGCCAGAGGGTGCCCGGGTCCCACGCTCAGGGCCTTGAGGCCTCCGGAGCAGGTCTGGTTCATCCTAAGTGATGGGGAACCCACAGAGGGTGAGTGACCATCTGGGTGTGAGCTTTTAATAGGCCACTCGGTGGTCAGATGGCGGTCAAGAGGTTGCTGCCCATCGTTCAGACAGGAAGATCACCATGGCGATGGGAAGAGTAGAAGTCGGGGTATATTTGAGGAAGTAGCCATCAGTACGTGATGGACTGAGGAAAGGCGGG